AGGCAGAAGGATCGCCTGAGCCCAACAGGTCAACACTGGGGTAGCCGTGAGCATTCCACTGTACTCCAGCCTGGGTGACAGAGTGAGACTACAACTCAAAAAAAAAAAAGAAAGAAAAGGATTCCTGTAAAGGTGTACACAACTTCCTACAGAGTATCAATGAAAATAAAACAAAACTAATACCTTTCTCCACTTGTTGAATTAGAAAAGTCAAAAACTGATATTTTTTAAAAGAAACTTACAAATCCATAATCATAATGGGAAATGTTAACTTATTTTTGTCAGAATAAGAGAACATAAACTGACCAAAAACAGCTGCCATGTAATAGAGTTCTATAAATAAAGAGTAACTAAATTTCACCTAATAGACATACACTGAAATCTGCGTAAAGAAATAAACTATTTATTCTTTTAAGTACATATAGAATGCTTGTTGTTGTTTTTTGTTTTTTGGAGACAGGGTCTCACTCTGTTGCCCAGGCTAGAGTGCTGTGGCAGTGCCATGATCATAGCTCACCGCAGCCTCAATCTCCTGGACTCAAGTGATCCTCCCACCTTAGCTTCCTGAAGAGCTGGGACTACAGACATGTGCCATCACACCTGGCTAATTGTTGTAAAGATGAGATCTCATTATATTGCCCAGGCTGGTTTCAAACTCCTGGCCTCAAGTAATCCTCCTGCCTCGGCCTCTCAAAGTGCTGAGATTACAGACATGAGCCTAGAATATCTGCAAAATTGACCACATACTAACCACTAAGCATCCTATTTTTTTTTTTTTTTAGAGTTGGAGTCTCACTCTGTCACCCAGACTGGAGTGCAGTGGCACATTCCCGGCCACCGCAGCCTCGACCTGCTGGGCTCCAGCGATCCTTCTGCCTCAGCCTTCCAAGTAGCCGGAACTACAGGCATGTGCTACCACGCCTGGCTAATTTTTGATGTATTATAGAGACGAGGTCTTGCCAAATTTCCCAGGCGGGTCTCGAACCCGCAGGCTCAAGGAATCACTCGTCTCGGCCTCCCAAAGTGCTGGGATTACAGGCTGAGCCACCGAACCCGACCACAACTAATGATTCTTAACAATTTGCAAAACACAGAAACCTTACAAACCATGTATTCTTATCATAATCAAAACTAAAAGTAAAAACAGCAGAAAGTCAATTTAGAAATTCAAAAAACTTTTGAAACAATTCACAATTCACGAATCAAAGAAATTACAGTAGACGTCATATAATAAAAAAGATATAAAGAGATTAATTGAATAGCAATCAAAGAAAAAGTAAATAAAAACAATAAAGTTGGTCTTTGAAACAGCTAACAATAGTTAAATCCCTGGAAAGATAAACAAAGATGGTGGAGAAAAGAGAAAAGAAATAAACACAATAGGAATTTAAAAGGAGACTATAACTACAAATATATTAAGAGATGAAAAATGTCATAAGAGAATGTAACCAATAAGTTTATTTCAATAACTTTGAAAACGCATAGTAATAGATAATTTTCTAGGAAAGTAAAAAGTACCAAAATTAACAAAGAAGACACAGAAACCTGGCAAACCAATAATCATTAGAGAAATGGAATCAGCAAAGGTCTCCATCTCCAACCTCGATGGGCACCACCTCAGTTGATCCGTTACCCTACTTCTAGCAAAGTTCAGGTCCAGAAAGTCACCTCATACAAACTGATTTGGAGAACTGAGAAAGAGAGAAAGCTTCCCAATTCATTTTCTGTGAACCTTGTTACTAAAAGCAGACAAGGACAAAGCAAAAAAAAAAAAAGAATTTGTAGACCCATTGTGATAAATTCAGATAATCAAAATATCAACAATCGGCCAGGCACAGTGGCTCACACTTTTAATTCCAACACTTTGGGGGGCTAAGGCAGGAGGACTGCTTGAGTTTAGGAGCTTGAGATCAGCCTGGGCAACATAGCAAGATCTTGTCTCTATACAAAATAAAATTAGTCGGGTGTGGTGGCATGTCCCAGTTACTCGAGAGGCTGACACAAGAGGACCACCTGAGCCCAGGAGTTCAAGGCTATGGTGAGCCATGACTGTGCCACTGCACTCCAGCCTAGGCAACAGAGTGAGATCCTGGGCAACAGAGTGAGATACTGACTTAAAAAAAAAAAATCAGTCCACATTACTAATCATCAGGGAAATGCACATCTAAGCCACAAGGAGCTGTCACCGACACCTGTTAGAATGGCTATTAGCAAAAAGATAAGAGACAGCAAGTGCTGGCAAAGGCTGGCACATTGCTGGTGGGATGTAAATTAGTACAGTCATTGCAGAAAACAGCATGGAGGTGCTTCAAAAAACTAAAATTAGAACTACCATGTGATCTAGGAATTCCACTGCTGTTATATATCCAAAGGAAATGAAATACGTATGTCAAAGCGACATCTGTCGCCCATGTCTACTGCAGCATTATTCACAATAGCCAAGGCAGAGTCAACTAAGTGTCTTTTTATGGATAAATGGAGACAGAAGATGTGGTGTTTCCCCACAGTGGAAGACTATGGACATCCTGCCATTTTCAACCACATGCATGAACCTGACGGCCATTACATCAAGTGAAATAAGACAGCCACAGAAAGACAAAGACCTCATGATCTCATTCATACGTGGAATGTGAAACAGTTGATTCCATAGGAGCAGAGAGCAGAATGGTGCCTACCAGGAGCTGGGGCGTTGAGGGCAGGGAGGAGTGGTGGGGCGATGCGGGTCAAAGGATACAGAATTTCAGTCAGCAGAGTTCAAGAGCTCTTCTGGGCAACACAGTGACTACCAACAACAATGTTCTGTGTTCTTAAAAATGCTCAGATAGTGGATGCTGAGTGTTCTTGCCACAAAAGCGATACCTATGTGAGGTAATGCCACGTTAATTAGCTAGATTTAGCCCTCCCACATATATATGGACTTCAAAACATCATGTCGTACACAATAAATACATATTTTACCTGATAGCTCAAATATTATATGTGTGTGTGTTGCATTCACACACACACACACACACACACACATACACACACACACACACACACATCAACACAGCATAGCTTGCTGTGCTAAAAAAATCCCAATAGTCATGAAGGGTTTAATCCCAGGGCCTCACTAATGGCTCAACATGAGAAAACCCACAAACACAGTGCCTCACACTGACAGATTAAAGTGAAAAATATAATGATCACAGATGCAGAAAGTGTATTTAGCAAAATTCAATGACCCTTCACAATTCAAAAGAAACACACATACAAAGATCTGAAGCAAACATGGCAAAATGTTAATAATGTGAAATCCAGGTGTGGGCTCATGGCTAAGTGACATATTCTGTATTGTTATGTATTTTAGAAGTGATTCATTGTTTTTAAGAGGAAAAAAAAAACATCATAAGCACGTGTTAGGGATGGAAACGGCTGTTTTAGGGCCCTGACAATAAAGGTTCTGGAAAACACAGCACGAGCATGCCACTGCTGCAGGAAAGGCCAGGGCTCTTCCTACCAGCAGGGACACTGGATCGGCACTTCAGACAAGGGGTGCCAGAGGCTGCCCAGCAGACAGGCACTGGGGTGGAAGGTTCCAGGCTTACCTGCACCTGGGCACTGAGGAGGACGAGGGATGGGCGGCTCCTGTCCCGTCCACGCCCCCCTAAACCCTAGAACTCCAGCCGTCCCGAAGCAGGGCAGAAGCAGGGCTAGGGGGAGACCCCCACACCCATCACTGGGCCCACAGAGAGCTGGTGGGAAGCAGGATGCCACCACAGGTGTCTATGCCTTGGCCACCTCCCCCGCTATGGGTCAGGCTGTCAACCATCCTTTTTTGATGCTTCTGGGGGTTTCTATGGAGCCCCTGCAAGTCGTGCTGGGAGGCAGAGCCTGGGTCCCACCTGCAGTCCCAGACCTCAAAGGCCCGAGACACATACTCAGCACATAGCACTCCGATCTCGCTCTGGGGAGGGCATATTTGTCTGTGAAAGAGAAAGTTATTGTGAGCCCAGCTCCATGGGCTGGGCAGAGAGGACGGCCAGACACTCCCAGGCCAGCAGCCCCCAACCTGAGGCTTCTGTTCCTCATGCCTGTGACTACCTCTGAAAGGACAGGACCTGTTTCCTTTATGGGTACCTGGAGCAGATGTAAGCATGCACCTGCAGCACCATGTTCTTTACAAGTGGGCTGTTGTTGATGGGTGACATGATCTCTGGGTACCGTGGCCTGACTTGTGGGGGCCGGGGTGGGCTGCCAGCCATGCAGCCCCGAGCCTCCAAGACTCGGGCCTCTTCCTTGTTGCCCAGCATGGCCACCACCTTCCATGCTGCTTTCTCCAGTGTCACCACAGGTGTGTATCTTAAACTGGCTGGCTGTGTCGTGAACTTTCTATGAGTGTGTGTACATAATAAATACTTAATCACGTTGCAGATACTTTTCTGGGTGCTTCTTTCCAGCAGTGTTTTCAGGTTCAGCTACACTGAGAGAGCACGATGCTCTCTGTCCACTGTCCACATCCACTGTCTACGCTGCCCTCCCCATGCAGGCATTCCCTGTGGGGTCCATTCAAGAGGGACCGTGGGCCTCGAGGGCTACACGTCTGTACCTGACCAATCCAAATTGTCTTTCTGAGTCCCCCAGCAGGGTCTAGGCAGACATCATGCTTTCTGGGCAAATAGCCGTTGGAGAGTGGCGGCGACTGCCCTGCCTCTGACCTGGGTGCCCCTTCCCTAAGGAGCAGCTTAGTTCTAACACTTGCTCAGGGAGGAAGAGGGGACGGCCCGAAGGGGACCTCACCCGCCCAGCCTTAAGGACGCTCTGGAGAACTGGTCCAAACTCAGAGCTTCCCCGGCCATGATTCAGGAGACAGAGCCAGGCACTCTGAGATGGAAGGACGGTTTGACAGAGCCTGGAGCTGACCCCAAGGCATGGGGAGGCCTCTAGACTTGGCTCCAGGAGAGCACCAGCCCTCAGGCAACCTGCTCTGAGAGGCAGGACGGTTAACTGGCCACACTTACAGTTGCGCCTGCTTCTCTGCCAGCTCTTTGGTTTTCTCCTGCAATCACAAAAGGGAAAAAAAGCAAATCTGAGAAAACAGGATGACCCAGGCACACATTCACACACACATTAGGACACCGTCTGCAGGAAAGCAAGCCACGGCTGTCCCAGACGTCCCATGCCACGCTATTTATTCTAAGCTGTGCTGGAAAGTCCATTTTCCACTGGACTCTCATCTTTCCCTTCCATTACGGAATGTGACCTACATGCTTCCTGTAATGGAAAACTTCCACAGCCCTCCTGCTTCCATAACAACTAGCCATTTGGAAACAGCACAGATGGGCTAAACGCTTCACAAACACTACAGAAGAGTCCACAAACACTCTCATTGCTAAGCTCAACACTGGCATTTTAAAATGCCAGCCCCAGTAACAATACGTAGATGCACAGGCACTTGAATACTCATAATACAGTTCAATTTCCCAGCAGGGGCTCAGGCGTAGCTAAAACTTCTGTGCCGCCGTCACTTTTCATCAAGAAGTGATTCTTGCTTTCGCGTAAGTTTGGACCTGCCTAAAGGCAGCCCTACCTGCTGCTGTTGCTGTTCTAAGATGCACACCCACCTGTGTATCTGATAAGCAACAAGGATGGGGAGTGGCAACAGAGTCGAAACCAACGAGCAGGTGACATTCAAGGGGGACCTAGGCAGGGCTGAGCTGACGCATAGGTGGGGAGGCGCAGTGGGGTCCAAGGGAAGCGTGGATTCGACTCAGTGTGACATTCACAAGGTTGGGACTTGGAGAAGGCAGTTCACAGCTGGAGCCTCAGTTTCAGGGCAGGGCTGGCCCTAGATGTTGTGGGGACTGGACTGAGGACACAGTGGGATAACTGGGCAACTCGGACTCAGCTGAAGCTTGTTCTCCAGGGTGGTTGTGAGAGTGACACCAAGCATTCGGTTTACTTGTGCCTGGCAGAGAAGACTCAGGAAAGGATGATCAAGTGAAAATCTCTGACTTCTAAGCAGCAGGTCACTGCTGGACATAGCTGGCCAAGGTGTGAGCCGTTTCCACACACACAGACTTCACCTGGCCCTGTGCCTGTGACTGCATGTCAATCCCACGCTGCGAACTCAAGGAGACACGACTTAGACCCATGGGTTATGGCACCCACAATGCATAGGACGGCTCATACAAACCTTGGGGTGGGACAGCCTGTGCTTTTACTTTTTAAAGGTTTCAAACATCTTCAATGTGGATTTTAATATGAGAAATCGAAGTTTCTACGCAGCCAAATGACCTCCTTTTCCCACACCTACTCTAAATAAACATGGCCCGGGTTAGCAAGGGTCTCTGAACAACCTGTCTGTTGGGTCTCTGGGAGCCGAGGCCCTGTGGGGCAGAGGCCAGGCAGGGAGGCCGTGACTGTGGGAAGCTCGCAGAGTCCGGGCAGAGCTGCCCACCGGGGCTGCAGTGGCCCCCAGGGATGCTGGGCAATGCCTGGAGCCATTTGTGCATGGGGGGGAAAGGGTGGCTGCTGTCAGCCTCTAGTGGGTGGAGGCCAAGGGTGCAGCTGAATGCCCTACAATGCACAGGATGCCGCATGGTAAGGAACTCTCCTGACCACGGCCCAGGGGCCGAGGCTGAGAGACCCTGACCTGTATGAAAGTGTGTCCATGCACAAAAGCTGGCTGACCCTGCACCCCACTGCCAAGTAGACAAGGGGCTCATAGTAGGGCGGCTTGGCGGGCAGTGGCTCTGCCACCGCTGGCAGAAAGCACAGGGCACCCGGCCCGGGGGAGCTCCAGGGCTCCCGGGCAGGGGCCTGTGGAGCCCGATGTCCCCTGGCCTTGCAGGGCCCACACTCTGAGCGCCACATTCCTGGGCAGGTGACGGCACAGGCCAGGCTAGCCCGTGGGTGGGGCACAAGCCTCGAGCTCAGGTGGCCTCTGACCCCAGCCAGCCTGGCCCTCGAGGGCACGGTGCTGCCGAGGGCGCTACCCCCATCTGCCTGCCAGGGGGAGGTATCGATGGGCAGGGTGGGCGGGCCCTCGGCTCAGCCCCGCACCACCATGGGGGTACACGGGCCAGAGGAGCTCCCACCCCCACTCAGGGCCAGGCCGAGCTCAGACCCGCTCCGCCCCAAGCCCGAGGACACCGGACACAGCCCGCCCGCCCCTGGCGCCACTGACCCAGACGGTGTCTCGGATCGTCTTGGCTATCTTGAGCAGGAGCTGTCCAAACGCGCCCAGCTCAAAGTGGGTGGCTGAATGCTGGATGCAGAGGCAGAGGAGGAAGGCGGGGGTCAGCTTGTGGTCGTCGCCCCCCGGCTCGACGAGCGTCATGATCCTCCGCAGCAGCGCGTCCTCCAGGTCGGGCTCAAACTCCAAGTGCAGCTGCCGTCGCCGAGGAAGGGTGGCCGGCAAGGAGACGGTGTCCCGGGCCCTGAGCACGGCCCCGCACATCCTGCAGCTCTGCGGCACAGCTCGAAGGCGGGCCAGGGCTCGGGCAGGCAGGGGCTGGGCCTGCGCGGGGTCCTTGAACAGCAGCAGGTAGTAAAGGCCCAGGGAGAGCAGGTCCCCGTGGTCTAGCACCACGGTCCTCCGCCCCACCTCGGAGAAGTTGACGGAGATGGGCGCCCCGGGGATGGGCTCCAGGACCAGCCTCCCCGCGGCCTGGCCAGCGCCCGGGGGCACATGCCGGCGGATGGTGCAGTGCAGGGGCAGGATGTCAGGGGCAGAGAGGCTGATGCTGGGCTTGCTGGAGGGCGTCCGCTGGCCCACCGTGTGCCGGTCCCGGTTGAGCACGTATACCAGGCTGTCCTGAAACACACACACTCCACTCAGGGACAGGACACTGCCTCGGGCAACATGAGCAGGGGGAAGGGGAGGCGGCCCGTCTCTGGTTGCTGGGTTCCTTAAGCCACGTGGCTTGGACTGCTGTCCCCAGCTGCTCCACGTGTCCCAGGCCACTTCACACCAGAGCCACCAGCAGCCCTTGAAAACCTGCATCTGCCCACCCTTGGGGAGGTGGCTTTCCAGAGGAGGCACCCGAGAGGTCCCAGAGCCACACAGCTTTGGGACAGTGAGAAGCCAGGTCAGGGCTGGCCCGAAAATAGATGCCGGCTTCTCTATAGTCGGGGCCAAGTCCTGCTGAATTCCGCAGGTCATTCCCAGTGTGTGAGCATTGCCCACCTCCTGTCCAGCTCAGCGAGAAAAGACGTCTCCAAGACTGGACTCCAGAGCCCTAAGGCTGTAGAGTGCTCATGGAGATGGAGCAGAAAGGACCAAGTAATCGAGAGAGCAAATGACAGGGACGGGGACCTCACGCCTGGAGTGTGTTCTGAGCTAGGTGCTGCGATGGAGATGCTCTGACTTAAGTGGTGAGAACCAGCTCTGGGGTGGGTGGGGCGACGTGGTCTTTTCTCTGTGCCTCCTCAAAGAATGTGGCCACCACGGGGTGACTGGAGTCCACCATCACTTGGGGCAGGGAGCTGACTGCCCTGGTCACCTGCCCAGGCCCCTCTCTCCACATAGCCTGGACAGTTCTCTGTGGTGGCGAGCTCTCCATGAAGGGGCCACTGCCAAGGGCAGACCCCTTTGGGACCGGGGAAGTCGGGAGCCCTCCCCTGCCACCTCCCACCACAGCCTGGACAAAGGACAGGGGACGGGCCCCGCATATGCGCCCACAGCCCACATCCACAGCCTGGCCACAGACGGGGCCGCAGCCACACCGCCCAGGACAAGAAGAGGCCTCCACTTCTGGGTCTTGCCGTGGTCCCTCGGGTAGGGGGCAGGAGGGCGGCTCACGTGCTGCTGGCTGTAGCCCTGCAGGAGGAGCAGGTGTGGGGACTGGTACAGCGAGTAGCGCATGGCGTCCTGGCCGGGCCCCTCGGAGCCCTGGGCAGCGTCGGGGAGGGTGGAGGCTGGGCTCAGGCTGGTCTCGCTGACTGTGCGGCGCAGCCTTGGAGGAGGGGAGCTCCGGGCGCCCCCGGGGGCCAGGGCCAGGGCGCCCTTTGCACGGCTCCGCTGCAGTCTCCGGGCCTGGGCGTTGACCCCTGAAACAGAAGCAACGTGGGGTGAGCAGTCAGAAGCGACGGTGTGCATCTCCCAGGTCCTCGGGCGTTCCTTCTGACACCTGTCGTTGTTCTGTCAAAGCAGCTCTGGCGACGGCTCCAGGACTCTGCCCACTAGCCTCGAAAAACTGGACCGCACCTTGGCACCACCATGGTGATCCCGGAAGAGTGGCCCCAGGGCAGTTGCAGAGCCCGCGGCCCACCTGTCCAATCCCGAGGCTGAGAGGGGACCATGCCTGCCCTACAGGACCCCAAGGACACACCCTGGCCCGCTCCACTGGCCAGCACCATGGCCCTCAGGGCCTCAAAGCTACAAACACCTTTCCCCACAGAAGACGCAGCCTCTGCAGGGTCACCACACGAGCCTAGAACCCTCCCTGTCCACCTGTGCCCCTTTCTGCTCCTTCTCCGTGAGTACACTACAGCCTTAGGGCTCCGGAGCCCAGCCTTAGAGACGCCTTTTCTCACTGAGCTAGACAGCAGTGAGGGCAGTGCTCACACACTGGGTATGACCCGGGGATTCAGCAGGTGGACAGGGAAGGACTTCAGGAGGGGGGTTTCCGATTAGAGGAGGCAGACCAGTCATCGTCCTCTCCCCAACTGTCATCTCCCCTACAAGGAAGAGGTGGTCCCCTTGCCCCATCACCCCAGCTCATGGAGCCAGCGATGATCAGCTTCTGCAACAGCACAGCTGCCTCCTTTCCGAAGCTACACTGACATCCCCGGGTCACAGCAGGCACACAAACACACACGTCACAAACACACACACACACTTATGCATACACACCCATGCAACCCACATACATGCACACATAAATACACAAATGCACGCATACACATATACCTGCACATACAACCATGCACCCACACACATACATACACACGCACTTGGCCACATAGAGAATCACACACAAACATACGCATATGCACGCCCATGTACACAAACACATACGCACACACAAATATAAACACGTGCACACACAGCCCAGAAATAACACCGACCCTTAGAAGACATTTAAGATCTCATACCCACAGAAACAGGCCGTGCTCTACACTAAGGCTCTAGGGAGGATGGCAGGCTGCAGTAGGTGAACCCGTTCACGGTCCTGGTTGGCTGGCGCTTTCTTTTCTGAGCCCGCTGCCAAGTCCCCTCCGCTCGGCCTTTCAGGTGAAGACTGTCCCCATCTGCGGCAGCCTCTCCTCCAGCCATTCCAACAAAACAAGACAAAAGCCGGCAGCAGGCCAAGGCATGCCTTACCAAGCTGCGGCCGAGCTGAGCCGTCCTTCCCAAGCAGGAAGGCAGCCTGCGCATCTGCAGCCCGCAGGGGGCCGGGGCTGCGGGAGGCGCCAGGGCCTGTGGGGCGCCAGCCGCAGTGCGAGGCTGCGAGGCTGCTGGGCTCACCGCTCACCGCCCCGCGCTCCTGCTGGCTGCAGAGCCCGGCCCAGCCCAGCCCGGCCCCATGGGTGGCAAGCGCCCGGCAGGTGGGATCCAGCTCCTCTGCTCTGTCCTAGTCAACCTCTCAGGAGTGTGGCAGGCACCACAGCGTGGCCCCGTCGCACAACCATGAGCCAGATCTGAAAGAAGAAAGCAGTCCAAAATGATGTTCCAGCCCCCAAGTTTCTCCCAAGTCCAAGACCAGCTTGTAGGAGAAGGTACACCTCAGAATGACCTCTGAAAGTCCCCGCCCACTGTTGTCCTGCAGCCCCAGGGAAGGCCGCCTCTCCTCCTAGCCTCCCAGGGGCTCTCCAAGGGCCAGCCGCGGCCGGCGGCAACGGATCTTCCCGGCCAGAGTCCCCTGGGGTGTAACCCACAAGGGCGGCTCACAGCCAAGTGGACCCAGCTTCTCTACGTGGGGTTCCACACGCGAGGGGTCATCTGAGAGACCCTCTCAGATGACCCCTCGCAGGGTCCCAGGGCTGGGCATCCTGCACATCAGAACTTCCTTGGTCCTGGGTGGGCCCTCCATGAGTGCAGAGGCCAGGGCTACCAACCTGTGGCTAGTAGCCGGAAGGGAGACCCCGGCTCTGAGGAGCAGCAGTTGCCCCTGAACCCAAGGCCACAAGGCTCACTGGCACCTCCCTTCAAGTGCAGACATGGGGATGAGGCGGAGCAGCGTCCACTGCCACCACGAGCACAGCTGGCACAGCCAGTGTGGACAGCAGCCTGATCAACACCCTGTAAGACCCTTGCACAGGTGCACACATGCGCACACGTGTGGGCCTGGACCCCTGTCTCAGGATGGCCACTGCAGCACTGCTCAAATGAGCAGAGGACCAAACCCACCCAGGGAGTCACGAGCCACAGGGTGACGGCTCTGCAGAGAGAAGACAGAGCCAGCCGCGACGGGACCACAGAGGGGAAAACACCAACTGCAGAGCAACACATGGGAAGTGACACCAGTGGTTAACAGCTTTGTACAAAGTCCCTAAAACACCACTGTGCATTGCTTGTGGTTTGTATGCCATGAGCACTTAAAGCTGTTTTTCACCACAGAAAAGGCACACTGCAAACACGTGGCTGTTCTCACGGACAGGGCAGGAACAGTCTGGGGATGGTGGGAAGAAGGACTTGACTTTACATGATTTAATATCATGAACTGAAGTAATAGAACATATGTTATACATAAGCTATAATAAAATATATCTTTATATCATATTTTACTTACTTTTTAAAACTCTAAACAAACATGATAAAAAATCTTTACTTCTCAGCTCTGGGAGGTAGGTACCCAGGTATCAGGTAACTGTAACTGAGTTGCCAGACACGGTGGCTCACACCTGTAATCCCAGCATTTTGGGAGGCCAAGGCGAGAGGATCGCTTGAGCCCAGGAATTCAAGACCAGCCTGGGCAACTTGGTGAGACCTCATCTCTACAATAAGTCAAAAAATTAGCCGGGCGTGGCAACACATGCCTGTAGTCTCAGCTATTTGGGAGGCTGAGGCAGAAGGATTGCCTGAGCCTAAGAGGTTGAGGCTACAGTAGCCGTGATTGCGCCACTGCACTCAAGCCTGGTGACAGAGTGAGACCCCAACTCAAAAATATAAAAATATAAAATTAACAATAAAATACAAATGCTAGACTTTGCCATGGAGTGAAGAGGATACACCCCCAGGCTGGGAAGTCAGGATACCTCCATTTCTTTTGAAACCTTCCCCACGAGAAGGGCAAGTCGTGCTGACTGATTTTAGTCACAGTCTCTTCATCCTAATAGCCTCATTTTTTTCAAGGATCACTAAACCTTCCTGCTCCAGTGTGATGAGTTCAGTGGGATCGGAGGTTTTAATGATTCAGTAGGTTTGAGGGATGCCCAGGAATCTGTCTTGGTAAAAGTTGTCTGGAAGGTTCTGGAACACAGCGCCAGGCGGAAGAACCAGTGCCAGGGTACTACCCTCCCCCAAAGCTCTAACGGTCCACAGCAATTTCTTACAGGGAGAAAACGGAAACCTACAGGGCTTAGAAAAGCTTCCGTGAAAAACCTACAATCTGTATTTCGTGGGGATTTCTAATTCTCCGGATCAATGTCTGTTGGTTCCTGGAGAGAGAGTTGGCAGACAGGGTCTCCCCAGTCCCCCCTTATTTATCCACCCTCTGGTGAAGAGGCAGAAAAACAAGCTGGCAGGAAAGAGGGAGGTCGGGGCTCCTGGGCCCTGGGGGGACTGCGGCGCTTCACCCAAGTTAACCCCCAGGACCTGCCTCGTTCCCAAGCATCTGCTAGCACACAGGACCGCAGACCCGCAGCAGAAAGACACTTCCCAGCATCCGAAGAGACGGTACTACTCGGAGAGAGCCTGAAACAGCACTTGCAGGCTTCCCAGAGGAGACACAACTGAGCAGATAGGCCCTGACTTGAGAGGAACTGTTTGCCTTCGACGCTGGAGTTGGGAAGGAACAGGAAAAGACAGAGCTGAGACCCAGGTCGACGGCCTCCTTGCACGGAGGTAAGGCACGGAGAGGGGCATTGGAAGCTCCCGCTGGAGGCCCGGGACGGAGCCTCTGAGCACGGCCCTGCAAGGCGAGAATCTCGGCCCTGTGTCTCCCAGAGAGGTCACTGCTGCAGGAAGGGGGCAGGGATGCCACCCTGGCCACGCGGTTCTCTTCTGTGCAACCCTCCCTTCCCTCCACGAGGAGGACGTGTCTAGTGACCCTCTGCTGGCAGAGAGGAAAGGACGCAGAGTGCCGGGGGATGGACAGGGAACCCAGACGGCAGCTGGTGACCATCATCAGAGTCCCCACTGCAGGCTTTGAATACAACTGGAAAGAAAAACATGTCTCTTTTCCTGAGCGTCATGTTCCTCTGCAAATTCAACTGGCAGGTTTCACTCCTCATCCTGTTTTCTTTTCTTCTTCTCTCCCTGGACCCTGAAGGCCTGAAACAACATATACAACGTGAAACTGTCTCTGTTGCTTACTCACACTCCTGGCGGGAGGATGCCTCAGAGAGGAGGTGATTATGACTGGAGGCTTGTGGGGAATGAAGGATCTCTGTGTTGGGGAATCTTGCCAAATCTAGGAAAATGAGACTTATTTATTGATTTAGAGACAGGGTCTCACTATGTTGCCCAGCTGGAGTGCAGTGACGATTCACAGGTGCAATCATCATAGCACACTGCAGCCTAAAACTCCTAGCCTCTAGTCCTTGACCTCCCAAGTAGCTAGGACTCACAGGCACCACTGCGCCCAGCAGGAGACTGTTTTAAAGTGATCCCTAGTAACAGCTGGGGTTAAGAGATAACCTGATGAATAAACTGCAGTAGCTGCTGAGGAATGCAGGGGACAGACTTGCCTTGAACAAGTCTTCTTTCAGCTGGAATTCCCTTCTCTAGGTTAGCAAGGGACGCGGAGCTCTAAGTCAATCAAGCATCCTTGCAAAATCATTCAGAATGTACCAAAAAAGGAGCTACTTAAGGACAATTTGACAAGCACTCCTCTACACGAGCTTTATTCTGGGCATTTTGCATGTACTCCATTTCGTTCTCACCA